TCAGCCATGCCACGATCGAACTTTAGACAATGGCACACATGAATCAAAATGGGGGATGTTGTTGGCTGTCATTGCCTATCAAATACATAGCGGATGATTGAGTAGACAAAGTCAGTGTGTCGAAAAAAGCATAATTCATACAATTCGTCTTGTGCAGGCCTTTATTATATACATATATATATATATATATATATATATATATATATATATATATATATATATATATATATATATATATATATATACTCAAAAGACTTAAAGAGTTACTTCGCCGGAAGTGGTGAAGCACCGAATTTGGTTTTCTTCGATGAGAAAACATTCGTTGTTCGGAGATTTGTAAACATACAAAATGATCGTGTTTACTTGCCAAAGAGGTCAGCTGAAAATGTGCACATTCGGTTGGCCACCAGAACTCAACCGCCGGCCATAACAGTCAATAGTCGCTCTCCGCTCGTATTAATCGACCGTGATATCAGAATAAGTTCCGAATATTATCGCGAAAATATTCTAGAGGGTGTATTGAAGCCTTGGGCACGTAAACATTTTGAACGCAGACATTGGACATTCCAACAGGACTCGGCACCATGGCACTCAGCACGCGCCACTCAAGAATGGTTACAAAATGGGGTTCCTCGCTTTATTTTCAGCACACCATGGCCACCAAATCCCCGGATACCAATCCGTTGGACTATTGAGGTGTTACAAACGAGGTGTTACCTCACCCTGTATTTATTATACATGGTTTTGATTACACTATCGATATTTTAGCAGAGTGAAGACTAAATTTATGAATGCAACAGAAGTAGAGAAAAAGCAGAGTAGTTTTTTCATGCTTCCCCATTTGTATTGGGACTGTTATTACATCCACTCTTTGTTTTAGTTGTGTACTAAAAATTAATTAACCAACCGCTTTGATAAGTGCCGTCCGTACCTGAGCAGCGAAGTTCAAAATCGATGGGATAATAATGGTTTCTATCACTTACATTAAATACACCATTTAGACAAAGTAAAAATGGCCGGCACAGCAGCATGTGTTTCACATAAATACGTGAACCTACTTCATAAATGTGGCAATCTTCCGTCTAATGAGAACTTGAAATGCACAATTTATTGAGACTGCAATCAGTGAAATACCGAAAAGAAAAAACCCTGCAAAATACTAGAGCGAATGGAAAATTTAGTAAGAAAATGATTCATATCCCCCCAAATTTCTTCCGAAACCTTCAATATACTTAAATCGCAGGTACCGTAGATATGTATCCCCCATATATGGGTAAACCCCGTTTTTTCCTTTTTTACATTTTAGGCATATTTTCAACCTACTTTCAGAAATTTTTTTGGTAAGTTGACTTTTCAGACGGTAAGTATGACATTAGGGGCCAATTGTACAATTTACAGCATTTTCTCGCCACCATCATATTAGTTTTTTATGATTCTACACACATTTTTCGACGAAATTATTTCAAATTTGTTATTATGAGCTCTTAATAGCTAGCAATTCCTATAACTGAAACACGTAGGTACAGTTCAAATAACAGGTTGGGTTCAAATAACGGTACTGCCCACTTTGTAATATTGTTAAGACTTTAACTACGTATCCAAACCTGAAATTTACAATTCATAATGAAACAAGTTTGAACATTGAATCCCCATACTTTTCTTAAAATGATTTTCTGTATCTCATAAAGGATTGTATTAAAAGTTCGTCACCATTTTATATACCATCCACCATATTATGTTTGTAACTCCACGAAATAATAATTTTAGGCCCAACAAAGTACATACATTCTTGATCACCTTGAAATTATATGTCGATTTAGCCTTGTCCGCCCGTCTGTCTGCCTGGAAATTACTCTGGGTTCGAAAAAAAAAATTGTAGGAGTACCAAATTTCACTCAATTGTATTTTAGATTCGTAGATTTTTTGATATTGAAAATGTGTCATATATGACCACGTTTTGGTATAGCTCCCCACATAACTGTATCGGAAGATTAAAGGTGTTTGGTTTAATATTCTTAGTATGTAGTAAAAGGTTTTACAGAAAACTGTTCATGTAGCTCAACGTTTTCGTATAGATCTCATTCAACTGTAACTCAGATATTCGGTATTTTGATTGCGTGTGTCACACTTTTCACTGGAATTCTTTCAAATTTGAAATTTTAAGTTCGCAATGGGTATTACTTCATGTCATAACACTTGGTATTTGGAGTTCGTGCGTTCGTAACTGACTATAGACATTAACGATTTCGTAAAGTCCCACATAACAGCAATAATTGATATTAAAAATTTATTAAATTTTAGATATATTTTTCAGCGGAGTTTTGCAAGATTCTTTCGAATGGTGGATTGAATTAAAAGTCCGGCCCTTCCGATCTGAGGTTGTTTTTTATATGTTACATGTTTTACTTGTCATCTTTCAAAATTGGTATATTGTAAACCTTTAATCATAATTGACAACATTTAAAAGAAAAACTAAATTGATTTATTTTTACAGAAACACTTATATATTTTATAAATTATTACATGAATACATATTAACCTCACATACAGACAACAACCACGTAGTCAGTTGTAAACACAAATTAAAATAATTTTTACAAATCTAAATACATTATTTGCGTTGCAGACAATGCTCCACAAAGGCTAAGAAAACTAGCTGTACTAACTACAGCTGTGGTTGTACCCGATACTGATACAATTGTTCCCATGCATATAGACAATATGAATTGTGCTAAGAATACCATACTGCTAACAATGGCCACATCAGTTCCCAGTCCTCGGACACCAGATCCAAGTTTTGCCGAACCGTCTGCATCTAGTTCAAACTTAACATAAAATAAAATTGTTTATTCATTAGCACAAGAATACCAGATATCTACTTACCGTACCCATCGCATGGTAATGTGCGATTAGAAGATAAGGCATCGTAAAAAGTGTCGAATACATTACGCCCGCAGCCCAGCTGAATATTATTACGCTCGCTTTTGCACGGGTCATCGCCATTAGCATCATTCCACAGCAGTAAAATAATAAGCCGCCCACATACACCTTTTTTGCCCTACAAATATAAACATTAGACGAACAGGCTTTTAGTAGACACTCTAGCATTATAATATATATTACTAGCTGAACCCGGTGCGGTTCGCTACCCCTTTTCATGTTATATGCATTCAAAATTTTATATACGAATATTTGTTGGTTTAAAAAAAGAAAACAAATTCAAAAATTAAAAAAAGGTAAAAAAATTAAGTTAAACGGTTTTATGTTAAACATAGACTGCAATGTTTAAGATAAAGGTACTAAAAACCAAAAAATAATAAAATAGATGGAGTCGTGAGAATTATAAACATATGCATAGACTAGACTAAAATTTGAATATAATTTGACAACTTCATTTTCTGATCAAATCCCGTCACATATTCCCAATTTCATTGTTATATGCATTCAAAATTTTATATACGAATATTTGTTGGTTTAAAAAAAAATAAGTTAACATAAAACCGTGGGGCACGTCAATTGTCTAAAATTGTTGATTAATGTAGTTTAATTTTGTAATATTAAACTATAATTAGGCTGTTGTTTAACCGAAAACGATGGACGTGTGATAAGTAGAGCTATCAAGATTTATTATAAGCGAGTTTTAGGGTTTCATAGTGGTGAGCGAGTAGTACTTTTATCTATATTTTGTCGATTAAAAACTAACTACGAGCATTGAACAAGCTTGCAGTGTGAATGTCCAACGATAAACTAGTTGAAACATCACTTTTATTTACATGGAGTGTATAACTATTGGAATTTCCATGAGCAAGAATATAGTAAGTAATTTCCTCACCGTCTGCGGGCCAAGTGCCTAACGAGGAATTAAATGATTCTTCTTTCGCACATTAAGTCGGTTTTATTTTATTCTAGTCTATGCATATGTTTATAACTCCCACGACGGTACCTATTTTATTATTTTTTGGTTTTAGTACATATATCTTTAACATTGCAATGTATGTCTAACATAAAACCGTTTAACTTTAAAAGTTTTTTACTTTCTACTTTTTAGTTTTTATTTCGCATTCTGTATAATTCATTTACTGCTTCATTATCGCAAAGTTTCTTGCCCGTTAGTGTACCGCAGTCCAACTTCTCTATACGTAGTCCCTGCAAAGATCTTACACTATTAAGAGACACGTAGACTTTACCTTATTTAAACAGTTTCGCATCTAAGGATACGACTGCGAGATCCAAAATGCTGTCCTGCATTTTATGTGTTGTAGAAGCCCAGAATAGTATTAAAGGCAACATTTTTCTTTCAGCCGTCCCGTAATTGTATTTAGCTGGAAACTGTATGGCTTTCGGGTGTATAAGATGTACTCCGTGTAAAATATCAATAAAAGTCTGGTGTCTGTTGGTGTGTAGCTGGTTGGAGATGTTCTGGCTGTTTGAAAACAGATGTTCCTGATCGTTTTGAAATTTGTAAAAAATCACCGAAAAGTAATACGTTTACTCCTCCAAAAAACTAATTTTCACAGTTCTATCATGCATAGCATTTTACATAAGACACCATGAAAATCTCGTTGACAATCAAAAATTCTATTTGATGCTATTGTAGCCTTATTATTCGCAAATAGTTTCCGGACCGCTATCGCTTTTTGAAACCTTCCTTTCCGTTGGGTTGCAGTTTCTGTTTTATTTGTGTTTGTATTTGTTATATTTTTTACTATTTTATTCCCAGGAGTAATAGACATTTCAACGGTCGACCCCACAGAGGTCCAATAAAGGGACAAGGCTATTTACAAGAAGATTACCCCGAATCTTGAGGAGAAAACGCTAACGACATATCATTTTTATCCGCTCTAATGTCATACAGTTCGCGGCGCGTTTTAACCTTTCACCTTAATGCGTAAATAAACAAATAGCTCGGTCTACCAACGCGTGAACATGACAGGAACAGCTGACCATAAGAAAAGCAGGAACATGTCAAATTTAGTCCGCATACACGAAAGGTTTGTCCTTCTGATTTATGCGAAGCGTGCAGGAAACTGCAATCTTTAGATGTTGAGTCGAATTTCTGTTGTAATTAGAGAATTAGAGGTAATAATCGTATCCCCAATTAAATTGTTTTGTAGTTTTTTAGTGTTAGCTTAATACAATTGCATGCTTCTTAATAAATTTATATCTCAATCTGAACCGATTTTAATATAATTTGAAATCTGAACCGATTTTTAATTAATTTGTCAAATTTATTATTGCATGCTCATGCTGAATTTCATTGAAAGCGGATATACGTATCGCGTTAGGTGCATCAAATATGGAAAATCGACCGAAAATATATATGGGAGCTATATATCTAAATCTGAACCGATTCCAACATAATTTGACAAATTTTTTTTCTGATCAAATCCCGTCAACGATTTCATTGAATCGAACATATGTATCAAATAAACGAAATTGGTCGAAAATGTATATGAAATCTATATCCAAATCTGTACCGATTTCAAATTTATGCTTCCACCAAATCCTGCCACTCATTCCAAATGCAATTAAAAAAGAACATACATATTGTGTTTGGAGCATCATATATATATATATAATATATATATATATATATATATATATATATATATATATATATATATATATATATATATATATATATATATATATATATATATTCCATCCACATTCCAAATTTAATTGAAATGTGGCGTACACAGCATGTTTAATGCATATATATATATATACATACATATAATCTGAAGACTAGATGCGCAAAATGCATCTCGAGCAAATGGTTTGTGTCTACAATACATAGAGTAACAGCTCATGGCATGACATGTTGACATGTTAATATAAAAACCACAATTACAAAAACGAACGGTACCTCTCGATATTCTGTGTTTTGATGATTTTTACCAATTTTTTTCGGATTTGTCCAGAAATTGGTATTTGTAGGTCATAATGGGTTCTATCTCGTGTGGCGAAACATTGTATGTATAGATATGGCCCCCATGTAATGGTATCCCCTGATATTCGGTGTTTTGATGATTTTTGACAATTTTTTTACGCATTTGCCCAGAAATTCAAGCCCGCTGGTTTGGTTATCCTGTCACATTTACCCACAGTAAAGGACAAAGCAAGTTACGCTTGCAAACTTTAGTTGTAGTAATTATATTCTTAACAGACCATTTCTTCGTCCAAGGGCAAGCTTTTCATGTTATATGTATCTACCTTCTACATTCTCGAAGTTGGTGTTTCATGACAAATAATCACGAAGCCGACTTTATACACGTATACCTAGACTGAGAAAGTTTCTATCGGCTTTTTTTATCTCTCTTCCTATTGTACAGATGCTCAATAACCGTTTCATAAAGATGCTTAATGGAACAGTTTAAAACTATGTAAATTATAGTAGATTGGTCAACTTAACTAATGATTTGTCTAGCCCTTTCAGTGTTTTTGTCAAATATATTTGACATTTAAAAGTACTCTCTTTCTTTGCCATTTTTTGTTTTTCTTACAAACCGTTAGTTTTGATATTTTTTAATAACAGACACGTTCGCTATTTAAAAATATTGCAGTTATATTCTATTAGTTTCGTTTTCGAATTTCTGAGCACATTTTAGTAAATTAGTATGGAATTTCAGATTTTTATGTCGACAAAAATTTTCATTGACACTGAAAGGGCTAGCGTCAATGCGCTCGTAATGAATTTGGATAAATAAATGCTCCCTAGTGAATGGCATACCCATGATATAATTGAGAAGTTAACGTCATGCCGCCATATGTTCGCAATTGTTCAAAAATTTTGCATTTGGCAACAGAAATAGAAATAAAAAACTTAATATACCCTCCATACTATGTATGGCTGAGTGTATAGAAAATCACGTTTTCTTTGTCGTTATTAACATTTCTATCGCGTTTCACACTTCTTATTATCTGTAAAAGCATTTCTTACCCAATTATCGGTTCCTTCACGATGCTAATGATGAAGTGATGATATCCAGGAACTTTAATTCGAATGCAGTTGTGTACTACACATTTATGGATAGCACACAAACACTTGAGTAAGGGCGATCGATAACATTTATTTCTAGGGTAAAACGCAATAGTAGCTAGCAATAGTATTTTCCCTTTTAGCCCTTAAAATTACTTATACGGTACAGCCAATGTAATCGCATACGGATCGCCAGTCACTTACATACGCACTAATTAATAAATACGCTAACACCAAGAAGAAACCGCATTGACGTTGTCTCTTAAGTCATGCAGAAGGGGATAGTAAACGATAATCATAAAAGAACACTCAGGAATGCAATAGAGAACATATCACATATATTGTAAAAAGAGAAAATTTTGTACGATATTGAAGATGAGCAATTACGACCATCCCAATGGCCCCAAATTGAGTGAGATTATAATGCCATCGTATCCAGGACAGGTGCTCCACATAGAAATATCCAAATTCTATTCCTATTTGGACTAATATTCTACGTTTGGGGGCAATAAAAAGCAAATTGAACAATAATATATATACTTTGTGAGGTCTAGAATGTATATTTCTAGGTGTTACAATCGGAATGACAAACTTAATATACCCTCCATACTATGGTGGAGGGTATAAAAATGTTGTCTGAATGATAAATACACAATTAAATTTACATTTTTAATCTTTTTATACCCTCCACCTTGGAAAGGAGGGTATATTAACTTTGTCATTTCGTTTGCAACATCCCTAAATATTCGTCGTAGATTCCATAAAGTATATATATATTCATAATCAGCATAAAATTCGAAGTCAATTTGACGATGCCCGTCTGTCTGTTGAAATCACGGTTGGTATTGAAAATGAGATATATCGATCCACGCTTTCGTATAGCCCCCATATAATGGTACCTGCCGATTTTTGGTATTTTGATGATCTTTGCCACATTTTTTCAAGGATTTGTCTAAAAATTCGTATTTGTGGGTCATAATGGATTCTTATGTTTCCTTTACCCTAAGGTGGAGGGTATTAAAAGTTCGGCCCGGCCGAACTTAATGTTTTTTATTTATTATTTAAAATAATTAGCA